AAAAGTTACCTTGGCTACGCCCACTTCAAACTTCTCATCTGGGGAGTAGATGACTGCAGTGGCTGGTCTGCTTGTACGGATGAAACATATACCCTGGAAATGGAAAGTGCATTACAATATATTAACTGCTCTGCAACAGGATGAAGACATCTTGGACAAGCTACCACCAGGTGGCCACCAACCTTTGTGTTGGATGACAGTTCAACAGCTCTCTCTGTGGACACGGCGTCACTGGGGTAAAACACGGTACATGTTGGGATGGCGCGGAACATGGCCAAGTCCTCGAGCGCCATCTGGGACGGACCGTCCTCACCTGAAGCCAGAATACAATGAGTCGATGACAGACACTCACACCTGCACCGCTCAATAGAAATCCAGTAGATGAACAGCTTACCGATGGAGACGCCGCAGTGAGACCCCACCAGGTTGACGTTCGTCTGAGAGATGGCTCCCATACGAATCTGGTCATAGGCCCTGGAGAAAAATGCTGCAAATGTGCTGGCAAATGCAACAGCGCGGTCACGGCTGGCGCAGCCAATAGCCACTCCCACCTGCGGTAGTAAGGAGAGACATCAGCAACACTTTAGTTTAAACTGACAGTGGATGTGGTTGGTAAGGGTCAAAGGGCAAAGTCAGCTGGGCACAAATGAGAAGCAGCAGAGAGGACAGATCATCATGTGTGAACGTATAGCAACAGATTAGACCAGGTTGGAGCAGATTATAGTATTGAAGAGCAAACCAGGTACTCGTCTTTCATAACTGTTACAGGATTAATAGGTTGACTAATAGTTAGCAGCACGGTTAAAACAGACCACGGATGAGGGAAGGTCAGCCTGAGCACTGAAGGATAGTTTACCATATTCTGTTCAGCGATGAAGCACTCGATGTAGCGATCAGGGAAGGCTTTCTTGAAGGTCTCTGAGAAAGTAGAGTTTTTAGTGTCTCCGTCGAGTGCCACCACTCTCTGGCTTGCCTGGCCCAGTTTTTTCAGCGCCACACCGTACGCCTGCCTCGTTGCCATCTAACAGAAAATACAATAGAGGTTAAGCAACAAACAGCCTTGATTGCTATGCTTAGCCACTTTAACACTCATGTGAAAAAGAACCTTTACCAACATGATGAGTCCAGCACAATATTCTGCAGCCACAATAATTCACACACATCAGTTTTGAAATCGTGTTCATTTCAGACAGCATCGCCCCGCAGTTAGCAAAAGCTGCAAAAAGCAAACTACATCCGATGTTTCACAGGTTCATGTGTGGAAAGTCTGAGATTTACTTCTAGCTGAAGAAAGTTGTACTGCTGTAAAAACTGGTGCAGCCTCTTTATAACATAGGAACAAAAATGTAAACGGTTTTCACGATCATTCAAAATCATAATGACAGTTAAAACGTGCTTAATCTTCCAGCTCTGACATGTGTGGGGATATAAAACAAACATAATCCTTCAGTGTAATAT